CGTTAGGCTGGCGTGTTCAGTTTGGTGGAGCTTATATTTCTTGGCGTTGTAAAAAGCAGGATAAGGTATCTAAATCCTCTACGGAAGCTGAATATCGAGCTATGTCTGAAGTTGGGTCAGAAATGGTTTGGCTTCGTCGTCTCTTGTCTGATTTTGGGGTCACTTGTTCTGCACCAATGGAGTTGTACGTTGATAACACCAGCGCTATTAGGATTGCCGAGAATCCTGTTCTACATGATCGAACGAAGCACATTGAGATACATGTGCATTATATCCGTGATCTTATTCGGGATGGCACCATTACATTGACTCATCTACAAACTGAGGAGCAGGTCGCTGATCTTTTCACGAAGGCCTTCTCCACGAGCAGGCATTGGTACTTGGGGAACAAATTGATGCTTAGAAATCGGCATCAATTTGGGGGAGGATGTTGAGTGTTGTGTGTATTTGGCTGCTGATTTATATGAGCTGTAGGAGAGTTGAGTGATAAATGTAAAGGGCCCGTAATTAATAAGCCCATGCGTAGTCCGCGTCCATGCAAGCTCAGGCATACTAGGTTAGACGTTTAATGGTGTATCTAACCTAGGACGTGATATATATAGGAGGGAAGACGGGTCTGCCGCCTGTATCATCTTCTTGACACAAATCTCAGTAAATCAGTAGTCTGAAGAGCGTTCAAAGCTCTTCCGTGGATTAGTCCTGGATATCCAGGGATACCACGTAAATACCGTGTTCTGTGTCTGTTTCCGTTTCCGTATCCGTCATTATCTGTTTCAGTTTTAATCAACAGCGAACCCCCACCTCTTCCCTTACAAAAATACAATATCTGTGTAAATATACTTAAAACCACCATATTGGTGGTAAATAAAAAAAACAATATTTTGGGAATTCTCCCGGCCATTAATCCAAAAAAGAAAAAAATACAACTAATTTAATCTGATTAAATAGGTTGATTCATGGTTTGCTCTAGAGTTTTGATTCAGCGCCCCTACTTAAGTAAATGCGAGATTTAGTGAAGAGTCGCCGGCCCGGCTGACTATTTCCTTAATTTACTTAAATTATTCTTGTTTAGGGATGCAAAGATTTTTTTTAATCCTGGGGAAATCATTTAGTTTACGAATTCATTACGCCCTGCCATTCTTTCCTCGTCTCGGCTCCGACCAACGTCATCAAAATCCCACCACCATAATAAATATTATAGCATTCCACCACCATATAAATATAAAAAACAATTTTAGCTGCGCGCGGCAACGGCGGAAGGCCATTCCTTTATTTTGTCCTAGGTATCTCCGGAGGTAACATTTTTTATGGTGGAAAGAGGGAAAAATCCCAGAATACGCGAGTTATTAAAAAAAATTCCCTAAATACAGTACTTATAAAAGTAATTCCCAAAATACAGCAGTTTCAACATCACTGTCTTTGATCACCGTTTTTGTCCAAAACAGTGAAGCAGCGGGGAACGCATCACCGCCTTGGACGAAAGCGGGGAATGCATCATCGCTGTGGACAAAAGCGGTGATACGTTCCCCGCTTTTGTCCAAGGCGGAGATATTATCCCCGCTTTTGACAAAGGCGGGGAACGTATCCCCGCTTTTGACATCAACAGTGAAGGCATCACCGCTGCTGTCCACAACAGTGATTGTCCCCACGTTTTACATAGCCCTGGTAGGTGGAGAAGTAGGTAACAGCTACCTAGCTATCACCGCTGTTGACTAAGGCGATGATGTGTTCACCGCCTTGGTCCAAAGCGGTGATTGGCTCTAAATTTTTCCTATAAAAACCCACGCCCTCTTCCCTCCTGCTGCCAAACAGCAAATTAGTACAAAAATTATCGTTTTGTTAAGTCGTTTTCGCAGCTGGTTCCTCCGTAGTTTACTGCTCAAGAAACTCGTCGGGATTCGGTATGTTAGAATTATGTATTGTTTACATTTTGATTATGTGCTAGAATTAGGTATGTTAGAATTATATATTTAGATTAATTATGATATGATATATGTTAGTTAGTTAGTACTGAATTTAGATTAATTTGTTTAGTTTTCTCATGATAGATCGGGATTGAGTATGTTATAAGTATGTATTTTTTACATGTTGATGTGTTAGTAATTATACTGTCTGTATTTAGTGAATTGCGGTTATTGGAAAATATGTTATGATATTATTTAGTTTAATTATGATATGATAGATGTTAGTTAGCTAGTTATGAATTTAGATGAATTTGTATAGTTTTCTCATAATAGATCAATTAGTTGCACTTTATTATCGCTTTGGATGATATTGTTTTTGTATCCATAATGTACTAATTATATACTATACTTAATTATTATAAAATGCAGACATGGGTAAATTTAAGAAGTTTCGGCTTATTATTTATTGGAATGGTCGGGTGACAAACTCGAACATTGGGATCGACTATGAAGATGGCGAATCCAGTATGCTTACATTTGAGTCGAGATTCTCGTGGCAAGAACTCCATGACAGGTGTGCAGAAAGGACTTGTACGGGCGGGCAAATGAGAGTTCGTCAAATTACTTACCGGTATCCCAACATGAGTGCTGACGGAGTCATGTACGAAAAAGTTGACATAAATGATGATGACGACGCGAACATGATGACACAGTTCATATCTGAGAACGGGGTGCGGCTTGCAGAGGTGTATGTCGAGACCGAGCCGGTCGGTGAAACTCATTCTCACCAGTATTCTTATGATGATGGTTTTGCAGGAGGGTATGGCTGGGGTGGTAGTTCAAGTAACTACGGAGCAGGTTCTTCTGCCGGAGGGTATGGTTGGGGAGGTACTTCAAGCAACTACGGAGGAGGTAGTTCTGAAGGAGGTGTTGGGTGGGAAGAATACCTGCCACATGGTGGTGAGACTGCCGTCGATATCGTTCATCCCGACGGTGATCAATGGCCTGCTTGGGGTCCAGAGTGGGGTGACATTGAAAACACCCTTCGAACTGGGCGTACTTCGCATGACCAAGAAGGCGATGCTGGTTATGCTGCTAACGATGACCATCCTTCGCCGAGCTATCCATTCGCCTCCAGTGACGATGAAAGTGAGGAAGATTTGAGATCAGTCAGTGAGGAGGAAGATACGGACGATAACGACGATATCGATGACAGCGAGGTGGCGTTCCGACAGGCACCAACGCCTTACTACACAGAGGTTCCTGATCAATTTTTATATGGTCAGAACGATGCCCCTGACTTTCGGCCCATGCCTGTGTATAATCCGACTGCTAATTTGGAAGTGGGTATGGCGTTCACTTCGAAAGCCGATGTGCAAGACGCTTTTAGCGAAGAAGCCATGCGGCGTAATTTCGAATGGAAGGTAAAATATTCTGACAAGGGACAACTGCATGTCATTTGTAAGAATGCTGGAGAGGGTTGTATGTGGCAACTTCGTGCTGCATATATGAAGAGAAAGGGGGTCTGGGTCATGCGGACAGTAGAGAACAACCACAGTTGCTCCTCAACCATACTTTCACAGGATCACCGGCAACTGAAAGCAAAAAAAGTGGCAAGAACCATTAAGCACCTTATCGAGGCACAACCAGATATCAAGATAAAAGCTATCATGGCGGAGGTGAAGGATCGACACTCCTACACCATAAGGTATAAGAAGGCGTGGCATGGGAAGCAGAAGGCCATGGCTGATGTCTACGGTGATTGGGATGACTCGTATGCTTTACTCCCCAGACTAATGTCCGCAATGGAGGAGTCCAACCCTGGGACGGTTTTCGTGCCTTAGTACAACAACGTAGAAACTGAAGATCAAGTTCGAGTACAGAACGAGTTGATGTTTCATCGTCTGTTCTGGACATTCAAGCCATGCATTGACGGGTTTCCCTTCTGCATGCCAGTGATTCAGGTATATTACGGACTCAAAATATTGTACTATTTCATTACTTTACTAATTTCAATTTTTACTAACTCAAAGATCGATCGGGCAGGTGCCACTCCACCATGTGCCAGCAGATTAAGGGCACCTTGCACAACCATGTCTCTTGATCCTCGGGATGTCTAAGACGATGCAACTCAACCACTTCATTTGGATATGGATCCCATACCGCCTACAATCATTATAATTCATGTAATTAGTAAAAATTATATCCACTCCACCTAATAAATTGAAAATCATGACATTCAATATTTTTACCTGGTTCCACCAAGGCTTATCAAATTCAGCACGATAAAACAGTAAAGAGTGCTCGGCCTGGTGGTCGTTTGTATTTGCTCCGATCCACCTAATTAAGCAAAAGTACATATATAAGCAATTTTTAAATTAGCTAAATACGATTTGGTTAGAATAAATCCAAATTCACTTACTTGGAAGATATCTAAATTCACTAAAATACTAGAATTGCAGACCTAAAATGTCTCTAAATTCGCTTAGTTGGAAGATAGCTAAGTTCACTAAAATACTATAATTGCATACTTAAAATTGCATACTAAGTTCACTAAGTTCACTAAAATCTAAATTCACCTAACTAGCTACCATTGCATATCTAAAATAAATTCAACTTAAATTGAACTTACTTGAAACCATATGGGGGATTTGCTACAAGTCGTAGCTCATCATCTGGCAACCAGAATTCCCGAGGGTCTTGAGGTGCGAGAAACGGAAGATGCTCCCATGCCCAGAGCTGAAGTATGAACATCGCACCACCAGCTTGTTTCGCTCCCAACCTCGAGCAAGTGCACAACTCTCGGTAGATTCCAGCCAAGACGGCCGACCCCCAACTTTTTCTCCCGATCTCGTCCCAGTCACCGAGGAGCATAGGGAACCACATGCCTTGTATCCACTTATTTGACTTGTCGGGGAACAGAAACCCACCAACCAAGGCAATTAGGTATACACGTGCATACCGCTCCACCTGATCTTCAGGAGTATCCGGGCCTATATTAACCTCCAATTGGATGTGGTCAACAAGCCACGGGATCGATACTTGCCCCGCATTCAGTGGTGGATGCCCAACCCCTTCGACGGGCGTGGTGGTCGGCATGTTGAACCCCAGACGTTCCTGAATCAATGGCCCCCAACCATCTTCTGGTTTTCTCGAGCTGTCGATGATGGCATCTCCGGTGATCGGGAGCCCGGTGAGGATGGCAACATCTTTGAGGGTGATCGTCATTTCACCCTCGGGAAAGTGGAAGGTATGCAGCTCAGGGCGCCATCGCTCTGCCATTGCCGTCAGCAGATCGTTGTCAATATCAAGCCTCATAAAGTGCCTCAAATTGTGCAATCCCGCCCTCTCTAGATAGGGATGCAGTCGAGGATGCCAACGGGGCAATCGACATGTACCTCGATGACTGATGGGAATAAGTGATTCCTACAAAACAAAAAACACAATATTGTCAGTCAATAGAAAGCAAAATAAAAACTTAGAAAGCAAAATAAAAACTTTAAAACTATTGAAATAATTTTAGTGTGTCTACCGGATTATTGTTCCAAATTGAACGAGAGCGATGTTGATCTTGCCCGGTTAAATACCTTCGATCCCTTGGGCCAGGATCGATATACAATCTAGGGTCGTATATCTCAGCACCCATCTATAAAAAAATATGAAATCAAATCAATTTAAATTTTAGCACCCATGTAAAAAAAATCACAAAAGAATTAAATAAATCTACGTACTCTCAAAGCCTCTTCGTCCATTTTTTTCCGAAAAGCTAGCGAGAGTATCGACAAAACAACAAAACAAAAACTCTAGTAATTCTTTCTGATGCGGAAGATCGGACTTAGCCGCAACCACAGAGCATACTTAGAACGAAACTAGAGTGAAAAATGGAGGGAGAAAGAAGTATAAAGTGGTGGTGTGGTTTGGAATGAGGGGGGGATGGGTATTTATAGGTGTTTGGGGCTGGGAAAAGACCTGGCCAGTTATCACCGCCCCAAACAAACACAGAGCCATCACCGCGTCCAACAAAGGCGGTGATGGTCACGGATCGCTGACGTGGCGGCTCCTGATGTGTCGGATTGTGGAGAAAAATCACAATCCGCGCATAACTGCATCGGACGGCAGCGGTGAAGGCGCGGGGTGGGGCGCGGATCGCTGACGTGGAAAGCGGGGCTATCACCGCTTTGGTCTTCAGCGGTGAAGTGCCCGCGCGCGTCCACGTCAGCGATCCGCGCCACTTCACCGCTGTTGGATCCAACGGTGAAGCCTTCACTGCTTCCCTCATCAACGGTCATGCCATCACTGTCGTCCTTGACAGCGGTGATGGCATCACTGCTTTGGTCTAAAGCGATGATAGCATCACTGCTTTTGTCTAAAGCGGTGATGTATCATCGTTTTAGACCAAAACGGTGATCAACATCACTGTCTTAGACAAAGACAGTGATGTTGAAACTGCTGTACTTTGGGAATTACTTTTATAAGTACTGTATTTTGGTAATTTTTTTTAATAATTGGTGTATTCTGGGATTTTTTCCGTGGAAAGAGGACAGACACGATAACCACAATTTTTAAATTGTTTTTTTCAAATATTTTCCCCTAGGACGTTCCGTTATTATTACTAGAGTTGGGACGCCAGTTGGTCAGATACATTACATCAACTAAATTTGGGTCCACCCGTTGGACGGCTACATTTTATCAATGGAAATTATTCGAACTAAATATATATTTTTATTAGGTACGATAAAGGAATCCAAATAATTCAATTACTGAAAGGATAAATAACCTACATTATAGAGTTTCCTGACATATTAAACGATTCATCGATGTAAAGTTGAGATTAAAACTAAAATAATACCAAGAAATTGAATCCTAATTAAAAAACTTATCTAACCAGACCATCAATATTCTCTTCCTTATTGTCAACATTCAAACTGTCATTAATCATAGTAATCCACACTTTTGGTGAAAATAACTTTCATCTTCCCTAAATCATAGAGGGTATAAATGTACATAAAATTGCCAAGCATCATTGTATTGCTAATTGGTTGATTCTCTGCACATGATATTTCTTAAATTCATAGAACTATATGTTGGTCCGTCAATTATGTTTATGTAAAATCAACTTATCCTTGTACCTTATTATTTTCAGTATCTAAAATGTTTGTGTTGTGGTAACATCCTACTATTAATTATTGATAGTCTTTTGACTTTAGTATACTCTTGATGTAGGTTTATGAAAAATTGGCATATTATAGACTCATTTCTCTATAAAAATACTCAACAATTCATCAATGATTTTTGTCATTGTCATAACTATATATATTTATAAGTTATGATGATTAATCAATAATTATTGATTGTCTATTTTGCCTATCATATAAAAATTTCCTTCATATATTTAACTAATGCCGAAATTTTTTAACTCTCGATGTAATACATTATGTCTCGATTTGTCAACCATTATACTCAAATTTATTATCTTATATAATATGAAGTAACTTTCAATCAATGCCTCAATTTGTTAACTCTCTAAGACATTATACCCTTGATTTGTGAACCATGATACTCAAAATTATTATCTTATAGACTTATACAATATGAAGCAACTTCCAACCAACGCCTCAATTTATTAACCGATGCTCTTAAAAATTAGGAGTAACTTTCAACCAATGCTTATTCACCATTGAAATAGTATATAATAGGATTTCTTAGTGAAGATGCTTGATCTTTCGATTAATTTTGTATAAATTTGGTTTATATATTTATGATTAAATTTTTTAAAGTTAAAACTTTCTTACTAATATAAGTGATCGATAGGGTGCATCTACAACACATTGCGAGCTAATGAAAGAAGTGTTCTTTCTGAAAACATAAATCTACTCACGGACAGAATTTATTCTTTAATAATTTCCTGTCAGTTTTTGTCTTCTGTTCAATATCTTTGTTCGGTGGCTTAGCTAATTATTAGGAATTTAGAGGATGGTGCGGATATTGGTTTTTTTCCTATTAATTATTTCATTTTTAATAATTAAATTTACAAAACCAACCTTCCTACAAACGCTATGCTGGAAATTCTAAATGAAAGAGGTTCTGAGTGAGAACGTCCATATAGTAGTGGTAGGATAATATAAAAATTAATTGTAATTATAAATCATAATTTATTTAGTATCATGATCAATAGTTTATTCCTTCTTCTGCTGCAATTCATTGAAACCCATTTTAATGGTATAATGTTTGAAAATGTGAAACATCTTTTCACGGTGTTAGAATTTCATCTCATATAAATCAGGGGCGGAGCCAGGAATCTATGTTCGGGGGGGGCCGAAATTTTTTATTCTGTTACTACGAAATGACAACTAAAAAAATATTTACATATTGGTCCAAGGGTATCAAAATAATATATATTTTACATAATAGGTTTATTTTGTTAATACAAAAAGGAAAAAGGAAAAAAATCAATTTTAAATATTATCGTAAAACCAATTCCAGATGATTAGAGTGAATTAATACAAGTTTAGAACTTATGAAAGTGAAAAGCACTAATTATTCAGCTTTTATAAAACTTAATTTTGAAACTAAAAGACTGAAACCATATTGAAATTAACAAAAATAAAAAGCCATATAATGAAAAATGAAGGAGAAGTTATTAAAATTGGAAAGAAAAATTGAATTAACACATGCATAATTGGGTTTCGAACCCTTACTCTCTGGGATGATATAATCAATTTGACCTCCGCTGGACTAGCCTCTTTTCTTGGTTCATATTTTCACGCTTAACTTATTAATAAATGATCTTTACTTTATACGAAATTTCCAAATACCGATATTGTTTGTAAGTAACTTTCGAAATTCTCGGGGGGGCCGGGGCCCCCCCAAGGCCTAGTGTAGCTCCGCCCCTGATATAAATTATAAATATTATCAACCATTCGCTATTTACTTCCATATAGATATTTCTATATAACTATATCCACCATCAATAATTTATTTCTTTATCTCAATAACACCATCATCTCCATCAATGAATTCACTAATTCTGATATTAGCGTACTTTTCGTTCTTCTCTTGCATTTCACTATCTCAAATATTTAATCGCAAAATTTTTTGAATTGTGATGTCACATCCCGATCTCTAAAATCCATAAATAACAATTTTTATCCGGAGCATATTTAAAATTTTGAAAAAAAGAAATAATAATCTACTCGAAATACCAATACTGAAAATACACCTTATAATTTAAAAGCAAAGCCCTAACATTGGGGCAAACCTCAATCCATAAAGTCTTATCCTTTTAAATCTCCAGTCATTACTCATAATCATAAAGCAAATAACTAAAGATTACAAATGCTGCTTACTCCGATCTGTGGTCAGATATCTTCAGAAGTGCTCACGTGGTCCTCCTCGGGTAGCCTGCTCTCTCATGGATGCTCCTTGACTTGATGCTCCCTAGCTCCTCCTCTACGACCTGGTGAGTGGGTTGGGGTCAGTCTACGCCATTACTTAAACTTGAAGCACTTACGGGTATTCCCTTAAGTGTTCACCTTAAAAACCCGTGGAAGTTATTTATGCTTCCACCCTTTAAACTTTAACTCTTAAAACGTGGGAGTTGCTGTTACTCGCCACTCTCAAAAATATTAAACCTTTGACCGACACTGGGATCCCCTCACTAACTAGTCCAACCGACCAGCTCATACGTATGAGGGCCAACATAGACCTTTCCTTAAACCTTTTTATGGGAGTAATCTATTCAACCCCATAAACCTTAAGAGTATATCATACTCTTCCTTTAAACTTCATGTGATGTCTAAGTGATTCATCCACATGTTCCTTAAGAGCAAACTTTTTCTTCCTTTGAACTTTCACTGGGGCGGGGGACTGTCGTTAGTGAACTATCTTTAAATCTTTTCACCCTAATTTAATTAGGAGTGAAATACCTCTTAAATATTGATCCTTAAAGATCAAACAACCTTCATTAAATAAACATAAATATAAAAGCTTCAAGTAAATACTGAAAGCTCAAATAATCATATACTTCAAAATCATACTCAAATAGAGCATCTCGGATAATACCTCAAATAAAACATGTTTTATCAATCACGACATAAATCAATCACTGACATACGATTCACATAAATACACATACTTAAAACTTGTAATTCAAATACTTGAAAATACGAAAGGCGTAGAATTTTCCCCCTTAAACCACTCACCTCTCAAATGACGATTCTTAGTTCCCTTGATGTGAAATCCTTAATCAGATCGCTTCCTCAATCCTATAAATTAAAATCATCTTCCCTTAGTCGGTAATCCTCAGATTTAGTCCCTTTAACGTATTGGGAAAATTTCCCTCATTGGTTACTTAGTCCCAAAATCCTTTAAAAATGGCCCTCAATCTCTTTTAAATTATTTCCTCAAAACTAAACTTTTCAACCCTTTAATCAAGAATTAAATCATCTCAAGCAATTCAATAACTCTTAAAATAAATGTAATAAAATCCTCATAAATTTCTCAAAGTATATTTTCCACTTAAAAATCCAAATTCTGACCTTAGGTACTTCAACTCATTACACAAAATTAGTA